ACTCATTATCTGGGATTTCCGCATGCATCCTAGAGTCGTGACACCGCAGCCTTCTGGTTTTCTATTCTATTGAGTTTCCGAGGCGTGGATGTAAGCTGTATTATGCTGCATCCCGACTCCAACCGCATCCTGCAATCGCCTGATCACCCCAGCCCACGTACAGTGCGGAGTGTCGCGGGTGACATCATAGCCCAGTCGGCGCCAACAGGGTATGACGTCACGGGCTGCTGCCGTCAGCTGGGAGCGGTCGTGGCGCCATCTCACCGGCGCATACCGCCGTGCTGAGAAGCCACCGCAGGGCGCCGCATGATAAGATAGCACGCCGCGCGATTGTGGCATGCGGCCGTGCGAGCGGGGATGGGTACCGGGGGTGTGGGGGACGGTCACCTCGTACAAAGACCAGGACCCGAGGCCTGATGCGTGATGTCTGGCGACCAGATGGAAAGGACGCTGGACTAATAGACTGCGCGTGGGCCCTGCGGTGGTGTGAGCAAGCCGTCGTAGGCCCTGAGGGGGGGGGGGGTCGGGGTTCGAAGCGGTGTGGTCGCGGTAGGGACTCCCGTACCATAAGTCCATTCGATGTCTCGGCGTGAATTCAGAAGCCGGCTGTGTTTGTAAAACCTCAGAGGCGCTCCGATCACATCATTGAGGCGACGTTGACGGTGTCTGGAAGGTAAAACAGCCGCTGAAACATGTCTCAACCCTGGTGAGCTGTAGCCACCGCTAGCCCCGCACTCGCCACCCTCAGCTGGTGCTGAGTTATACGGGGGGGGGGGGGGGGCGGGTGCCGAGATGTCCCGCCCGACCCCGACCTGTCTTCCTCCCTCTGATCAGCTGGGGCGGGTGCTGAGGTGTCCGCCCGACCCCTGGCCTGGCTCTCTCCTCCTCCTCAGCTGGGGTGGGTGCTGTGGCCTGCCTCCCTCCTTCTCCTCAGCTCGTACTGCCAGCGGGGCGGCGGCTCCATTCATTGAGCGTGCCAATCCGACAACGCCCCGGCCTGGGCGGGGCCGCGTCGGGCTGCGGTGCCGACGCACGCGCGCCATAGGGCTCCAGCCACCACCGACGGCTGCGCCCTCCGGCGGGGCATGTGTGAACAACGCCGGCCGATGTTTGTCCAGTGATGACCAACGAAAATGCAAATGGCCGCAGACTAAATATTTAGGCGTCGAGCCAAAACATGTAACTATCATGAAACTGCTGGGATAACTAATTATGGATTGAATGTTCCGTAATCATGACCCGGAAACGGACCTCAAAGCAATTATGCAATGTTGCTCAAGTATTGGAAGGTACATGCTGAATAGGCACCATTAACGACGTGCTTCTGCTAAAAGTCTCAACGGATAGGAATTGTATGTGATAAAGCATTCCGTTACGCATGTTCATTACCCGCCACCCCGCACCCCTCGCCTTCGCTTCTAGACACCGACTCGTGATCTAGTTCGCTGGCATATTCCGTCACGATGGCCGGCAGCTGGGGCGTCACCTCTGTTTCCGAGTCGAGCCGCCACCGGACGGCCAGGTCTCGGTGCGGCATTTCTGGGCGGCCGCACCGGAGCGGCCACCGTCGTACTACCGCGTCCCTGCCCCGCCGTCCGGCGCGGTCCACCCGGGAGAAAGTCGGCAGCGGCGGCCAGCCTGCACCGGCCCCCGGTCACGGACAGCCCCTCCCCCCCCCCCCCCGCCTCATCGGCAGGCGGCGCACGTGCCGCCCCCGACCCGTCCGCGGCCGACAGTGCACGCGCACGTGCCGAATGAAGGCGGACGGGTCCAGGGCGGCCCACTTCGGCGGCCACGGGCAACCCAACGCTGGTCTGTAGCCTGCATGCTGGTTTAGGTTTTGTGGGTGATGAAGATAAGCCCAGTCGCTTCATCGGCTTGGACACTGGTAGTGTCGTCTCCTTGCCCTGCCGTCTTTGTTTTGAGTCGTTTAGCCGTTGAGGTCTTGGCCACTCACATTAAATTAAATAAATTACCACAGCAACGCTGTCCCGACTTTTTAAATAATCTCCGTCCAAATCGGCCAGCAAATGCAACCCTTCCCCACAAATCGTAATGTAATATTTCAATATGACCTGGTTGGCGGCTGTGCTAGGGCAGGGTGTGCCGTCCGACCAGAGATGCCGCCACTTGGCATAGGCCTGAAGGGTGAGGGAACGGGCCCAGCCCAGGGCCGCACCGGTCCCGACGGGGGGCGAGGGAGGGGAGGGGAGGGGCGAGGCGGAGGGGCGTAGGCCCAATGGTCTCAATCTGGGTCAAGTTGAAGTGACACGCGATACTCTACACAAATTCAAAGCTCATAGAAGAAATAGGTCATTTGCCGTTTGATTTTGACCGGAGCTGTCTGAAAAGAAAGTGGACGGAGCCTGTGGTTTTGTTGAGGCCAGTCCTTCTATCCAGGACGATCTAGTCAAAGGCTTATGGTGTTTTCCTTTTCCCATTAATCAAGCCTTATTTTTGTCAAAAGCATGCACGGATTCACAGCAAAAAGGGGCAGCATATCATGCATATACGATAACGTTCGCCCACCAACGTCCGTTCACTTCGGCGTCTATCCCCCAATGAAACGGTAGTGCAGAGCTTGCGGGCGCCGCCTGTGTACGGTAATGTTGGCAGTTGCGCACCCCTTCTTGGACCACGCCACCTGTCGATCCAGGTCCGCGGTGTTGCGCGAAGGCTTCAGTAAGCGATTGCGACAGCCAGCCAGGAGGAAGGTGGCGTAGGTCCCCGCGTTTCAAGGAGGACCCCGTCTAGCGGGTGAGGTGTTGTCCAAGGTTCCTGTTCTGGGATCGGCCTGTGTGGAGTCGCAACCGTCATTCGACAGACCCAGAGGTCTCATAGCAGGCGTCTTTAGATGCTGATCTCGGCGGTGACGTCTCTGCCGAGCGCCTCGGCGGAGACGCATGACCTCAAGAACGCCGCCCAGCCGGCTGTGATGCCAACCAGCTGGACAGGTGTGACCGCGGCGATGTTTTGTTTTGTGCTGCGCGGCAGCTAGCCATAACAAGCTAAAGGCAAGCATCAGAATTATTTCTGAACATTCGCCCATCACATGGTTATGCTGCGCCAAGCCAAGCCTTGCCTCAGCCTCGTGCATCGAGTGCCTCGATTCTCCGCAGTTCGCTTCATTAGCATACACATCTGAGCAGGGAGCAGCCCAATGGACCAGGAAATGCTGCTGGCGTTGACCACCGTTGCATTGAAAGAACCGTTAAAAGACCATTATCCCACGGCCCCCTTTTCCATTTGCTACACCCTGTTCGCGTGTGAACGTTGTATTCCTATGTGTTGTGCCGCGTGGAGACCCGATACGTGGACTTGGCGGGACCCCCCCCCCCCCCCCCTGGCAGTCAGGGTCGTCTCCGTTCACCTGCCAGAGGCTGGTCTGAGCGCTCCACTGAACAGACCCCGTCCTTGTCCGAACAGACCCCGTCCTTCCGAACATAGCCCACTCCCCCCAATGCCCAGTCAACTCCGGCCCACTCGGAGCTTGCCCGCCGCTGCCCGAGCTCAGCGCGTCCCTGCCCGGGGCCGCCCCGCCCCCGGTGCCCCGGTCGGGCCGGTTGCAGCGGCGCCGGCGGCTGCCGCCAGCGAGCCGGCCGCCGACGCCGCGCGGCCGGCCGGCCGGCTCGCTGTCGCGCCCCGTGGCTCGAGCCGGGCGGACGGTGCGCGGCGCGTCTCCTGCCAGCGGGCGGTCCGAGTGGACGTGTTGTGGCCGGTCGGCCGTCGCGCCCGGCAGGAGCAGCGCCAGGTGAGTGGGCGGCACCGAGCCGGGACTGGGTGCGCGCCCCCCGGCGCTCGGCTACTGAAGTGATTTCCTTGCCGCCGGAGCGGCCAGTGATTGAACAGCTTTGTTTCATTATGTGCTGACGAATCGGCTGTCGCGCCATGATGGATGCAGACCTGAGACCGCACAGAAGTCAGCCGCGCTGGTGCAGTGGGCAGGCGCGGTGATTGGTCTCTGTTCGCTGCCGGAGGGCGGCGATAGCAAGCCTCCGACGGTTTCACTTTTGATCAAGCGGTGCGAAATATGCGACACGGGGTTTCCACCATCCGCTTTCTAGAACAGCGCGCTACTTGGCAGGGTCCACCGGGTACACATTACTCTTGCTCGTCGATGTTGGACGGGGAGAAATCGGCGCATGGTCGTTCAATTGCAGGGGACGGCTGGGGCGTCGCGCAAGCCAGTCTGCCCGCCGCCGTCGCGCTCGCCCGGCCTTGGGGCCAATCACGAAGGTGACGACCAAGTGGCCGCCGCTGCCGAAAGTGTTCACGTGACACTGGCGGCTGGCTCTCGGGAGCCTGGCCGGAGAACCGGCCGCGCCGGCCGCCACCGGCCAAGGTCGCCAGGTCCTGCTGCCGGCGCTGCGGCGGCCGCCGGGCCGCGGACGGGGGCCGGCCGCGCGCCAGGCTGCGCTCGAGGTCTCGGACGCTCCCGGGCAGGCGCGCCGGGCCGGACGGTGCTCGGCGCAGATCGTGCCGGCGCAGGGCCGCGGTCGGGGCGTGACACTGCGCTTCAGATGCGCTTCGGCTTGTGGCGCTAACCGGCTGGCTTAGCGAAACCGGTCCAGGATTGACCACAGGACGTTCCCCCACTCCGACCGGACGGTAGGATGAGTGCGTGCGTACGAGTGCATGAACTCTGTGGCTTTAATGTGGATGGGGCATGTAACGTGTCATACCTGGACGACAGACAAATATTGCAGTAGGATGCACACGGAGATTGCGTGATTGCTGAATGTTCGCCTTTAGTTGTGGTGGCCACAACCGAAGTGCATGGTGTTGTCCATTGCCGGGTTTGCCACTGATATTTGAAGGATTTTGTGAAGCATTGCTGCCGCCTACGGACCCACCACGGGCGAGTTAACCGTGCAAAATCGAGTTCCATCACCGACACCGCAGGAGTCCTACCTCCCCCCTCCCTCCTTCCCCGTCCCGTCCGGAAATCGGTCCTTGTCACCTCCCACATTCTTGTCGGCGAGCGATGCCTCTGATCGTTGGAGCCGGCTTGCCCTCCGCCCCGGGGCGGCTGTTCGGAGACGACGGCTGCAACCCGCCGTCACTATTGTTTGCGATTTCACCGCCGGTCCAGAGGGCCCGGCACAATGGCCAACGGTGGGGCGCGTCTGGCTGCGCGCGTGCGTGCCCGCCGAGGCGGCCCCGGGTCCGCCCGGCGGGTCACGCGCGTCCTCCCTCGGGGCGTGTCGGGGTCAGCTGGCCGGCGGTGCCTCGGCCCAGTCTCCAACCGTCGGCCAGCCTGAGCGGGCGCCTCGTTCCGCCGCCGCCGCCGCCGCCGCCGGCACAGGTAGGAGTCGGCCGGCGTTGCTCGGAGCGCCGAAGCAGGCGGGAATTTCCGCCGACCCGTCGACCCGCCACCGAGTCCCACCGTCGACCCGCCGCCGCGCTCGAGCGGGCCGAGCGGGGCGGTGCACTGCCGGTGCGCTGCTCACGTGCCGTTGCGCCACGCTGGCCCCAGCAGCGGCCGTTTTTGTCGGCCGCTCGCGGCGGCGCGGCCGGCCACGCGAAGTGCCGATTCCTCCGACCGGCGACTGGTCGGGACGGGCCCTCATTAGGTGCGGGCTGGTGGTATGTCGGGGTCGGGGTTCACGCCTGTCCGCCGGCGGCGGCCCGGCGCGGCTGGTCCGCCGGCTTGCGGGCTACGGGTGGGGATAGCGTTTGGCGCGGTCAGGAGGTCTTCCTGTTGCATGATGCATTGCAGAGGGAGGGGGGGGGGGGCCGCCGCCAAGAGGCGTTTGCGTCAGGTGTGCCGCAAGCCAGCCGCGCGGCACGGTGTGTGGTAAGCCGTGACCCAGCCTGGGACACGTTCTGTACAGATCGTGGAGGCCGAACTTAGATGCGGATGCCGCTGGTGCGAGTAGTCTTTCTGGAGGTAGCCTTGTTAGCTTTTTCACTGTTTTGCTATGCTTTATTAGCTTGCGCTTTTACGTAAAGCGCCGTGTGATGCATTATGAAAGAAGCCGTAGGAAGATGTATTCCAGCGCTTGCACAGCCGTATTGTTGGTAACGTTTAGCCGCATATCTGCAGAACCAACAGAGCGAATCTTTTAAACACTAGTTACGACCATAGAGCTGGTGGCGTTGTAGAGGCGTATCGAAACATGTGCAGGTTTTATTTTAAGCGCGATGTGTTCATGCGTGAATTACTGCTCAGAGAGCGTTATGAAGCATGCTAGTGCTGCTGATACTTAAAGCTACGATGCGCAGTGTGTGGAGCGTGCATGACTCGATTTACGCTGGCTCGCACCCAGAGTGGACCAGCGGCCGGCGGCAGCGCGTGTTCTCCTCGAGGCTCCTCGAACTCTGCCCGCCCCGCTAAGTGCCCCCACGCACAGATAGTGCGCTTCCGTGCCGAGGTGGCGTTTATCTCGGCGGCCCTCAGCGGTGACATGCGTGCCGCACACGACCCTCGCTGCGCCGGGAGGCCCCCAGCTGGGTCATGATCTCATCTGTGATAGCGCCGGCCTCCTCACCGCTATCGTGCCGCCCCGTGATCCCTGGCTTGGCAATGCCATGCGCCCCCGCGGCAGATACGTGTGCGCACGTGCCGTGTTCATTGCGCCGGCACAGGAAGTGCTGCTTCGTCAGGTAGGATTGGCCAGATAACACGGCGCGGTTACGTTGCCGCTCTTCGGTCGCTCAAAGGGCTGAAGTCTGTATAATTCTGAATAGGTTTGGCTCTGGTCGGCCCAATCTGATCAGGTGTGTTACAAGTACCGCTACAAGTGGCCTCCAGGATCAGAGACAGGGCCGGAGAACAAGGTCCGTAAAAATCTAGAGCACTGTTACGACCATGAAATGCCGCGCTGTCCGGCGCAATTAGCCGGCCTACGTCAGTACAGGGCTAGGGGCTGGAGCGGGACCAAGACTACGGTCTCCCGGCTGTTGGTCCCTTTCAGCTTGTCTAGGTCTGCTCCTCCCTGATGACGGCTAACGTCATCCTTGTCAGAAAAGTTCACCAAAAATTAAGCCGCGACAAACCAGTTCTACATGCAACTCGGCCATTTCCATTTCTACGGTCGGTGTTCTTGAGACAGGCCTCGCCACCCAGAGAGCTTGACACCGAGGGTAGTGGACAGGTCAGCGAGCGCGTGGCTCGGCTGTCGCGGCTGGTGGCGCGGCCGGCGGGGCTGCCGGCACCGGACCGGACCGGACCAGCCGCCATGGTGGCCGGCGGGACCGGCCGTCATGGTGCCGGCCGCGGAGCCGGCCCCGCCGCCGGCCGGGCCGGCCGCGCCCGGTCGGCTGACGTCAGGGCCGCCTCCGCGGCCGGCGGCCGTCCGGATGTCCGTGTGGCGGCGCACGGCCGCCCGCCGCCGGGCCGGACCCCGCCGGCCCCGTCGGGGCGGGGTCCCGGGTCAGCCCGGTCCCGGATCCCGGCCGCCGCCGCCGGCCGCCTGTCAGGCAGCGTGGTGCCAGCAGGCGCAGCCGGCGATCTGTTGCGTAGGCATGTTCGTTTCTTCTGTGTGGCGAGTGTGACTAGGGAATATGGGCGCAGAAGTGAAGCGGCGGGATCTGCCACGCGCTGCACGGTTGTAGACGCTGCTAGAAATGCGATATGCATAGAGCTGTGGAATACTGCTGCCTGATTATTGTCGATTCATATCATAAACACTCCGTGTTTCACACGCGCACATTGCACCTGCAATATGCCACACCTGATAAGTATGAATGATGCGATTCCCGAAAGCGTTAACAAATCCTAGCAAGGGCAATGGTGACGTCAGCCGCTGCCAAACGGCTTCCGACCGCATGTCAGGCGACATCCACGAATTCACGTGGGGAATCTCCCTGTGAAGTATCTGCACCGGTGACAAGGTGTGTTACACGATACCCGTCCGGTGCCGTGGCCACTGCCACGAGTGACCCCTGAGGGTCGGCTGGCAGCACCTGCACCTGCGCTGCGTCACAGCTCTGCCGGCCGGCTAACGGAGTCGGTCTGTTGCAGTGAACGTGGACGAGCGGCTGCGGCCGAGCTGCTGCCTAGCCGACTACAAGCTGCAGGAGGTGACTGTGGTGCCGCGCAACAGTCGAACAAACACGGTGAGTTCAGCCCGCTGACCTCGTCTGGCTCGACACGCCCTGACCTGACCTAGTATTGTCTGACCTAGCATTGTCTGACCTAGCATTGTCTGACCTTATATTGTCTGACCTGGCACTGTCTGCCCTGGCACTACCAGATCTGATACTACCTGATTTGTCTGTGCCTGGTCTGTTACTGTCTGACCCGTCACTGTCTGACCCGTCACTGCCTGACCCGTCACTGCCTGACCTGGCGCTGCCTGACCTGGCACTGCTAGACCTGATCTGGTCCGGCCTGGCATCAGCGCGTGACTTATGACTTGCAGTATTCCTTAAACAGATAGGACGGAAGTGCTCTCGCATGCCTATGCTTGCATCGCGTATGTGCAGTGTGATACGGCCATCAGCCTGCATGGCGCGCTGGTGACAAGACGAGAGGGCTCGTTCCTGTTAACATTTTCAAGTGCCGTGGTCTCTTAAAGCGGTTTAATGGCGCAGTGGAGATCGGGAAAGGCGGAGTATTAGCCGCAGCTGGCCACGAGCCAAATCTTAACCGGCTGACTGGTTCTAGGTGCTGTCGTCGGCCGACATTCTAGCAATGCAGAAAAAGACGGACGGAAAGCGGAAGATCTTCGCCATCTTTGGCAAGAAAAGCAAGCCG